CGGCGGTCCCGAGGGCAAGGGGTCTCGAGCTTCTGTCCGGTCGCCTTACTCCAAATCCCTTCTTGGTCGTCCCCCTCCCCCCTCTTCCGCCCTCCGCTGGCCCTCCTCCCCCTCCCACTCCTCCTCCTCCTCCTCCTCCCTCCTCCTCTCCTCCTCCTCCTCCTGCTCCTCCTCCTCCTCCTCCTCCTCCCTCCTCCTCCTTCTCCTCTCCTCCTCCTCCCTCCTCCTACTCCTCTCCTCCTCCTCCTCCTCCTCCTCCTACTCCTCCTCCTCTCCTCCTCCCTCCTCCTCCTCTCCTCCTCCCCCGCCTCCTCCTCCTCCTCCCCCGCCCCTCCTCCTCTCCCCTCCTCCTCCTCCTCCTCCTCCTCCTCCTCCTCCTCCTCCTCCCTCCCTCCCCCCCTCCCTCTCCTCCTCCCTCCTCCCTCCTCCTCCTCCTCCTCCTCCTCCTCGCCTTGCTCCAAATCCCTTCGGTCAGGTTTTTGAAGGCGCTTTTCTTGTAATTGGGGGGGTCCCGTTTATTAGGGCGCTTTCTTTGGATTGGAGCTTAGGGGGTCCGGTTTATCAAGGCGCCCTGTCGAATCGGGCGTGTCCCTCTGCAGGAGGAGTATTCAAAATTGTTTTAAGCAAGTATCGGGGGCGATTTTGGGATTCTGTTTGGCTATTTTTGCATAATTTTGGGGGTCCTTTTTATTTTTCGCTTTCGTCCAAAATCCGTCCATGCCCGACCTAAGGCAAGGGGTCTCGAGTTTCTGTCCGCTCGCCTTGAGTCGGGCGTGTCCCTGTACAGAAGGAATATTCAAACATTGTTTTAAAACGTATTGGGGACGATGTTTGGATTCTGTTTGGCTATTTTGCATATTTTTGGGTCGTTGTTATTTTTCGCTTTTGTCCAAAATCCGTCCATGCCCGACCGAAGGCAAGGGGGCTCGAGTTTCTGTCCGCTCGCCTCGGACCCTCTACAGGAAGAACAAATTCAAAAATAGTCAAAACCGGTGCCACCGACCCTGGAGGCCTCGGCCCTCGACGGAAATGGGAGGAAGAGGGCGGGCCATGGTCCCCTGGAGGGTGGTGTTCTGACCCGCGGGACCCCCCTTGGGACCTCCTTCCAGGACCCCCCCCTTCGAGTAAACACCAATGTTTCTCAGATTGGCTTCCCCTCCGCGTCGCGGCCGCTCCCCTCCCCCGAGGGGAGCCACCCGGGTGCCCCCCCACCCCCCCGGGTGTCCGGGTGGCAATTTTTGCATATTTTGGGGGTACTTTTTTCGCTTTCGTCCAAAATCCGTCTGAAGGAGGACATGCCCGACCTAAGGCAAGGGGTCTCGAGTTTCTGCCCGCTCGCCTTGAGTCGTGCGTGTCCCTATACAGCGGGATATTCCAATTTGAAAAAGCAAATTTTAGGGACGATGTTTGGAGTATGTTTCTGGATATGTTTGTATAATTTTGGAGGGTCCTTTTTATTTTTCGCTTTCGTCCAAAATCCGTCCATGCCCGACCTAAAGCAAGGGGTCTCGAGTTTCTGTCCGCTCGCCTCGGACTCTCTACAGGAAGACAACATTCAAATATAGTCAAAAACAGGCTATGGGGACGATGCTCCGCCAATTTGTTTGTTGGGCATGTTTTGCATATTTTGGGGGGTGCATTTTATTTTTCGCTTTCGTCCAACATCCGTCTGAAGGAGGACATGCCCGACCTAAGGCAAGGGGTCTCGAGTGTCTGCCCGCTCGCCTTGAGTCGGGCGTGTCCCTATACAGCGGGAATATTCCAATTCAAAAAACAAAGTTTAGGGACGACTTTTGGAGTATGTTTCTGGATATGTTTGCATAATTTTGGAGGGTCCTTTTTATTTTTCGCTTTCGTCCCAAATCCGTCCATGCCCGACCTAAAGCAAGGGGTCTCGAGTTTCTGTCCGCTCGCCTCGGGCCCTCTACAGGAAACAATTCAAAAATAGTCAAACATACTGTGTGGACGATTTTCCGACAACTTTTTGTTGTTTGGGCTATGTTTGCATATTTTTCGGGTACGTTTTATTTTTGGCTTTCGTCCACAATCCATCGATGCCTGACCTAAGGCAAGGGGTCTCGAGTTTCGTTCCGCTCGCCTTGAGTCGGGCGTGTCCCTGTACAGAAGGAATATTCAAACATTGTTTTTAAAACGTATTAGGGGACGATTTGTGGATTATGTTTCTGGCTATGTTTGCATAATTTTGGAGGGTCCTTTTTATTTTTCGCTTTCGTCCCAAATCCGTCCATGCCCGACCTAAGGCAAGGGGTCTGGAGTTTCTTTCCGCTCGCCTCGGACCCTCTACAGGAAGACAACATTCAAAAATAGTCAAAAAAAAAACTATGGGGACGATGCTCCGCCATTTTCTTGTTGTCGGGCATGTTTTGCATATTTTGGGGGTGCGTTTTAATTTTGGCTTTCGTCCAAAATCCGTCTGAAGGAGGACATGCCCGACCTAAGGCAAGGGGTCTCGAGTTTCTGCCCGCTCGGCTTGAGTCGGGCGTGTGCCTCGACAGGAGGAACATGCAAACATCGTCAAGAAGTATTGAGGACAATTTTTGGATTATGTTTCTGGCTATTTTTGCATATTTGTGGGTGTCCTTTTCATTTCTCGCTTTTGTCCAAAATCCGTCAATGCCCGACCTAAGGCAAGGGGTCTCGAGTTTCTGTCCGAGTCGGGCGTGCCCCTCTGCAGGAGGATTGCTCCCAAATCGTTCAGACAAGTCTCGGGGACGATGTTTGGGATCATGGTTGGCTATTTTTGCATCTTTTTGGGGTCCTTCGTCCCAAATCCGCCCATGCCCGACCTGAGGCACGGGGTCTCGAGTTTCTGTCCGCTCGCCTTGAGTCGGGAGTGTCCCTCTACGGGAGGAATATGCGAACATCGTTCAGGCGTAATTGGGGACAACTTTTGGATTATGTTTCTTGCTATTTTTGGGGTCCTTCGTCCAAAATCCGCCCATGCCCGACCCGAGGCACGGGGTCTCGAGTTTCTGTCCGCTCGCCTTGAGTCGGGCGTGCCCCTCTACGGGAGGAATATATGCAAACATCGTTCCGGCGTATTTGGGGACAACTCTTGGATTCTGTTTCTTGCTATTTTGGGGGGTCCTGGGAGGAGGGAGGAGGGAGGAGGGAGGAGGGAGGAGGGAGGAGGAGAGAGGCACGGGGTCTCGAGGTGCTGTCCGCTCGCCTCGGACGCCCCGGGGCCGCTGTCGGGCCCGGGCAGGGGCGCCTCGAGGCGGGCTTTCCGCGGGACGAGAGGAGCCCGTCCCGCGGAACGCCCGGGGGTCCAGGGCTGAGTCGGGCGTGTCCCTCTGCAGGAGGAGTCTTCAAGGATAGCTCAAACACCGTGTGGGGAGGATTGGCTGACTACGTGTTCGCATTTGGGAAATCTATATTTTTTTTTATGTTTTTTGCTATGTTCTATCTTTCGTACAAAATGCCCATGTAGGAGGCCACGCCCGACCTAAGTCTGGGGCCCGATTCCCTCAGGACCCTCTTAGCGCGACGAGGCCGGGGGGAAGTGAAACGGGGCGGGCCTTCTCAGAAGGCTCGACGGTCCCCGGGCCTCCTGAGAAGGCGCGAGGGCTTCCGAGAAGTCCCGCCGCCTTCTGAGAAGGCCTTCTCCTTCTCGCTTCCCCCCCTCGCTCGCCGCCGATGAGTACCCCCCATCCTCGAGGGTGCGCAGAGGCGGGAGTCGCACAAGGGGGATTCGCACAAGGTGGGGTCAGGGAACGGGCCCAGCTTCAGGCTGATACAGTGGAGGGCCGTCCACAATAAACCTTCCACAAGAAACCCAACCCTGAGACCCCATGACGTCCACTGGTCTTTGGAGTGGGAACGTCGAGCTCTCCACAGAAAAGCCATCGAAACCCAAGAAACCCAGGGCACCCTGGAGGCAAGCAGGGTGATTCGTGGTATGGGCCTCCACTGTATGTCATCCCCCAGGGGCCGTCCGGAGCGATTCTCGTATGGCCCCACTTCTGCTCCTATACCCCACTCCTCGAGTAGGGGATCGACTACAGCATTGATTTACCCCAGACTTGTTTTTGTCAGTCGATTCTGCGACAGATGCGCAGCATGCTCCGTAGATCTACGGAGCAGTCTACGCATCTTTCGTAGACTCGTCAGGACAAACATTGGGTAAATCAAGTATGTAGTCGATCCCCCACTCGAGCTTTTACGCCCGCCCGACTTCCTCTCATGACGATCTTCTCCTGGCCCATTCTCCCCGCCCGTCGTCACAGCTCCCAATGCTCGTGGGAAGTGTCAGAGCCCCCCCAGTTGCGGATACGAGCGAGTGGGGGGGGGCGGGTCGTCGGCAGTCTGCGAGGCTCGAAGTTCGGGGTCCCACAGGGGAACGAAGAACGACATCAACATGAAAACCCTGAGGTCCGCGCAGGTTTCTCGGATCCACGCTGGCCCCCCCTCCCTGTCGCGCCGAGCGCGCCAGGGGCGGCCCCCAGCGCCGATGCGAGAAGTCCGCGCGGACCTCCGAGTTTTTATGCTTGTGTCCGTGCTTCCCCAGGCCTGCGGCGGCCGAGAAGTCATATCGAGGCGCCCAGCCCCCCGCGCCTGCCTCGAAGGGAACGGCGTGGTAAGCAGAGACGAGCGTCGGCGGTAGACAGACCTCCTACCCTGACACGTTGATCAGCGAATGGGCCGTTGTCGGCTCGCGAGAGGGCGTCGCGGCCGTCATTCTGGCGGGTCCGGGTCCATCGGATTCGGTCCCAGGCCGTTTTCACTGAGGGGTGGTTTGCTACAGGGAGGTGTGTCAACCGCCGAGAGTGGAGGGCCGCGCGGATTTCTCCTGGGTCTGCGCTCGGCCCCTTCGACGGTGCCTCCAGCGCCGCCCCTGGCGCGCCCCGCGCCCCAGGCGGGGGGTGGGGATCCGGCGCCGATCTCCGGGAGACCTCCGCGCGGACCTCCGGAGCTGTTTCTGTCTCGTGGAGCGGCTCGCTCCTCGATGCCTGGCCCTGCGCAGGTTTGCCGGCCTGGCCATGGCCGGAGGCTGCGAGCTGAGTCCGGGCGAGTGGGCGATGGTTCCGCTCGTGGATCTCGTTGGGCCGCCCGAGGGGCCGGCAGCTTAGCAGCGGAGGCGGAGGGGGAGGAGGGGGAGGAGGAGGAGGAGGAGGAGGAGGAGGAGGAGGAGGAGGGCGAGGACTGAAAGAACAGTAGACGTAGTATGACGTAGTGCATGTAAGTAAAGGTTTCCAGTGCTGTCCAAGGTCCGCGCGGACCTTCGATCACTTATGTTTTATAGTGATGTTGTGTTTCTGGATGATCTGTGCACGGATGGGCGGGGGGGGGAAAATGACCAGTGCGCAAAGGGGATGGGGCGGTGCGCTGCATATCAGGACCTATGTATTTTGGTTCGACTGGTCAGATTCGATGTCGAGTCCACCCGGTTCGATCCGATACGATTTCGATGTCCTGGCAACCCGATGCGGCCCGATGTTGGCAAAGCGTAGTTGTATACTCGGGCGTCGCCGATCCGATTCGATTCCGCTCCTGAGCCAATGCTCGTTCACATTTTGTCAGACTCGCCAATGCGATGCTGACTGACCCTGGCTTCCCTCTTAGCACATCCGCGCAGTGGCTCGATCAGCTGTTGGGTCTAGGTACGGCCCCGAGAGGACGTCGGCCGATTTCCCTGACACTCTGCGGGCAGCGTTACCTCTGGAAGGGCGGTGTGTTCGAAGCCACACGGCGCGCTCCAGAAAGAGCCTCGCCTGCGGCGCGTCCCCGGCCTCGGCGGGAGGCCGCGGAAGTATCCGAGGTTGATGGACCTCCTACCCTGACACGTCGATTAAGGAATTGGCCGTCTTCGGTTCGCGAGAGGGCGTCGCGGCCGTCATTTTTGCGGGTCCGGGTCCGTCGGTTTCGGTCCCAGGCCGTTTTCAGTAAGGGGAGGTTTTTTACATGGAGGTGTGCCCACCGCCGAAAGTAAAACGGCGGCGGGTCCGCCGGTGGAAGGCGAGCGGAAGCAGGCGGAAGCAGAAGTCAGCCGTCCAAGATCAGGGCTGGACCTACATGTTGTTGTTTTTCGTGTTTTTTTCGCTTGATGTTTCGTTTTGTCGTACTTGTTTTCCTGTATCTCCCTCCCAAAACGAAAGACAGAACGCAGCCGAAGTCCAGCAACACAGCGTTTAGGTCCAGCCCTGTCCAAAACCATTCAGCGTGAATGTGTGGCCATTTGAAGCGTTCCACCTCCAGTTCGTGATTGGTCGGTCACGGCCCGCAGTTGTGTATGCAGGTGTGAATCGGATGTCTGGATGATGGTCGCATGGGGTTCGAGCTGGTATGTAGTCATCGACGGTTGTACGGGTGAAACCATCTTGGTTTCTACGGCGATGCAGTGCCGTTCTTCCATTGCAGGATTACTTTCGCTGCTAAATGTCACCACCACCAGTGCCGTTCCTGCTCGTGACATCTCTGCATGCGCTTTGCAGGTAGCCTGGTAAAGCAACTTGCTGCGCAGCTTCTCAAGGGCCACCGCAATGAATGAACTGAGGGTGTGTCCGAGTTCTGACAGTAGTACCAAATTCGGCAATCGAACGCAGAGGAACCAGCAATTGGTGCCGCAGTACATTGCGGAAGAGTTTGTAGATGTAGTGCTAGCAGTTTTGGATGGTGCTCGTCGCAGTAATATGTTTCGCAGTAGTTGCGGAAGTGTTAGCGCCCATGTTTTTTATTTGAGCAGTGTTGGGACCAGTTGTACGTACCCAATGTTCATGAAGTGGCAGTGGAGGACACGACTTGCACCCCAGCGAGCGCAAGATAATGATGTACCCCAATGCTGCTGAATCAGCAGCAGTATCGACGGTCACGTGGTAGTGGCAGCGTTGGTGTGAATTCCGTGCTCCAGGAAGGGCCTCGCGCACGAGGGACCGACGGAGAGGACACCTCTGCCTCGGCGGAGGGCCGGCAGAGGGCGGCGGAAGCAAACCGGCGGCGGGCTTGCTAGCTGGCGGAAATGGCGCCCCTGAGAGGTGCCCGCACTTTTGATTCAGGGCTTCTGGAACCGGCCACGCGTTGTGCCACAGAGACCCGGCGCCACAGGTCAGGAGCGGAAGAAGGGCGCACACGTACATGAATCCACGATGGTTTCGAGAGCTCGCATGGCGCGAAGGTCCGCATCACGCGGCCAGTCTCGCGGCTCCAGGGGCCGTTTTCGTGTACATGGCTGGGCGCGTACTTTCTTTGTGTGGCCCCTAACATCCAAGACCCCCGACGTCATGTTTTTTCATTGCGTCGACCCCGAGGTCTGGACCCATTCCCTGGGACCGGTTTTTCGTCCTCCGTCGGTGTTTGACGGTCCCGAGGGCCGGCAGAGGCCCCTGGACGCCCGAACTAGCGAAAAACTTGCCGTCATGATTTTTCCATTGCTCGAGGGGGGCCCGGGAAGGCGTCGTGGCACGACGTGCCACGGCGTCGTGCGCCTGCCGCCCGGCGGTGGGCCGCGCGCGCGCGCGCTGGGGCCCCGCCGAGGCCGGCGGCAGACCGCGTGCTCTGGGGCCACCGCCCCCCGAAGGCCGGCTTGCGCGCGCGCCGGGCCCCCGCCCGGCGTGTGCCTCTCTCGGGCGCGTTTTCTTCCTCCTGCTCCTCCTCCTCCTCCTCCTCCTCCTCCTGCTCCTCCTCCTCCTGCTCCTCCTCCTCCTCCTCCTGCTCCTCCTCCTCCCGTTGGCGAAGGCAGCGCTGCTGAGCGGCACCGCCAGATGGTGGATTTCAAGCGTGCGAAAGCCAGCGGGGAGCTGGAGTATCCTGGTCACGCTTCTTTCCAGTCGCACCTGATGGATTGGGGGCGCAAAATTGATCCTGATGAAGGTTGCAACGCCCGTGGACATTCTGGGCTACACGGGCCTCCTGAGCAAAATGGCTGAGGAGAACGGGGGGGTCCGGACGGCGTACCAATAAGACCTACTCAATCGGACCGCTATGGCGAAAGCCTTGGAGATTAGCGATGCTGGGTGGAAACGTCTATTTTCCCAAATCGACATGGACAGGCTCCGCGAGGCCAAGGACAAGGTCACGAGCCGGGCGGCCGAGGCAGCGAAAGCAGCTTCTGCGAGGGGTTCCGATGGGCCCAAGGGCAGCGGCGCCCCAGGCGGCGGCAAGGGTGGCGGCAAGCCTCCGAGGTCCCTTTCACCAAAGGCGCCGCCGCGCTCGCGCAGCCCCCAGGGCAGTGGCTGGAAGCAGAGTTCTGGCTGGAAGCAGGACAACTGGCATCATAACGCCTAGCCGAAGAAGAAGTTAAGCCAGAGCCGGAGCCGCAGCTCAGGTTCCAGCGACGATTCCCGCCGCTTGGATGCGGAATCGAGCGATGTTGCATCGCGTGCTTGTCTTGGTTTAAGCGGCGCTGCCGGTGTCCCGCATCCTTCCCAGGGGTGTGCCGAATCTGGGTTTAAGCTTGAATTTCCAGCTTTTCCTGGCTTGTCCCGAACTCGTGCGTAGTTTCCTGTCTGCTCACGGCGTGGAGAATTAAAATCCCCTGCAGCATCTAGATTGGGCATTTGCCCTTCCTCCTGGCGAGGACTCGCCAGTTTTGCCTTTCCAGCTCCAGACGTGGCTCGACAGAGAACTTTCGCTCGACGCGCCCCGTTTAGCGCTCAGCGCTCGGGCGCTTCTGCCTGAGCGCGTGTGTGGTGTTTTGGGTCCGAAGAAAAAATGGCTCGTGCTTTCCGAAATGCTCCAGGCGTTGGAAAGGCCCGACCAGGGTCTCGTGGATGATCTCAAGCGAGGTTTTCCCCTGATAGGCGCGATCCCGCGGAGCGGGGTTTTGCCGAGCAGTCCTTTTGAAGATTGCTTGGGACGTGCGTCTAGTTTGCGCGGGCAGGCCAGTGGGATCAATCGGGGCACGCTCCGGCGCGTCGGCCGCCCAGCCGGCCTGGAAGCCTCCGTTCGCCAAGTTTTTGAAAAGAAGTGCGAGTGCGAGGTTGCCGAGGGCCACGCTCGCCGGCGTGCGCTAGACGACAGCTGCATTCTCAGTGTTCGTTTTCCAGCTCACGAAGGCAGGATAATGAATCTAATCAAATTGGAGCGCAAGGTGCGCTGCATAGATGATTTCACAGCGCCCAAGGTGACCTTGGCCGCGTCGCCAGGCGAGGTCGCCCAGCACGACGCGCCGGGCAGCTTCTCGGCTGCTCTGCGCAGGGTAATGCCAGCCAACGATGGCGGAGCCGCGTTGCGCAAGCAGGATTTTGCAAACGCGGTCAAGACGCTGCCCCTCGCCAGCTCCCACTTGCAGTTTGCAGTTGTCACGCAGGGGCCTGCCGCCGCTCGCGGCCTGGCCCCCCAGCTCCTCGCGTGCCCGTTTGGGGCCGCGGCGTCAGTGCGCAGCTGGGAGCGGTTCGGCGCGGCCGTTCGTGCCATTTTTGCAGAGCTGTTTTTTTTCGCAATTGTCGTGCGGTTTGTCGGCGATCTTTCCGGCGCAGATCGCGCGCTGCTCGGCGCGCCACACTTGGCAGGGCCAGCCGGCGCCTCTGGCGTCGCGCGCGCCGCCGTCACCGCTTTGCTCGGCTGGGAGTTGGACGGCGAGAAAAGAGTTGCTCAGGCGGACGCTGCGCCAGTCCTTGACTCCACAATTAATAAGGACGCCCAGTGCGTTCTGGTGGCCATCCCTCCGGCGAAAATCGCCAGGTGGATGATTGAACTGCGAGACGCATGGCTCAGCGGCGCCTGCAGCCAAACGCGGCGAAACAGCTCGCAGGGAAACTCAGCTGGGGCTCGTCTGCAGCGTTCGGCCGTGCTGGGCGGGCGCATTTGGCCCCGCTCTGTTTCCGCGCGTCGCGCTGTAGTTCGTCTTTGTCAGGCCGCGTGGAGCGCGCGCTCCGCTGGTGGCTCCGCTTTCAGGAATGCGTGCCCCAGCGGGTTGTTCGCTGCGCCAGTCCACTCGCTCGCTCGGACTCGGTGCATCCTCTATTCCGACGCAGCGGGGCATGGCCACGTGGCGTGGGCCATCTGTCTGCCCAGTGCGCGGTTTTGGGCGGCGTCTCGAGTGCCCGATGCTGCGTGGCGCTGGGTTTGCTACAGGAAGACACAAATTGCGACGTGGGAGCTGCTCGCAGCAATCTGCGCACTACAATGGCTTCTGAGGCAAGCCCTCGGGGACCTCGATGTGCTCCTTTTCGTGGGCAACAGAACTGCGTTGGGCACCCTGGTCCGAGGCTCGTCCAGGCAAGCAGACTGGAACGTGCTGATAGGTGACCCCTGGCTCCGCGCAGCCAGGACAGGCACGCTGCTGTCCAGCTTTTACGCACCTAGCCAGTTGAATATCGCAGACGCGCCAACAAGACCGAACGAAACATATGCAAAGCTGGAGGCGATGCAGCGAGCAGGTTTTACCGGCGTGCCGCGGTGCATGCCATCAGACGCACCGTGGCCTCAGTAACTGCCTTGACGGCCTGCCGTCGGAGAACGCCTCGCCCGCATCGTCAGTCATCGACCGTGGCGTTGGCAGCCCTTTTCGCGCGTCTGCCTGCCGCGCGCCCCCGGCCCGTAGCCGCAGGGCCCAAATGCTGCAGCTCATTGACAAAAGCCGTGCCCAAGCCATAGCAGCAGCCAGCGGCGCTGCGGCCAGGCCAAGGCCGCGCCGCGGCTGAGCCTCCCCGGTGCTCTGCCGAATTCAATCCGACAGGCCGCGGGCGCGCGTGCCCCAGGAGTTGGATTGGAAAAGTTGCGTTCCGACTTGTCTCATGCTGGCGCAGGAGACCCCCGGGATTCTTTCGGGATTGGACCCAGACAGCGCCCGGGTCATTTGGAAGCCGCTGGAAACATGTACGCCTGGATTCCTTTCCAGATTGTTGCGCCTATGTGATAATTATTCGTCTCTTGCACAGCGCGGGCTGGCGCAGGCAGCGCCGTCGCCAGTCGGCGGCCGGCCCGAGGACGCCGATGTTGCTGCGGCGGCTCAAAAGGCTTCCCCCGCGCAAGCAGCCAGCCCTTCCGCGGCGCAGCCTGTGGCGCAGCGCGGGGGCCGAGGCGCGGCCGCGCCGGCGCTTGTCGCGCGCGCCAGACGGCCGCGAGTGGCTCTGGCGCCGGACGCGCTCGCCAACGCTCTTCGGGACATGACCAAATTGCCTGACCAACCGTTCGGGGTGCTCGAGCTGCGCCCGCGGGCTGTTGCAAAAAGAGCTCGGCTGGACGATGCAAGTGCAAAGTCGTTCGAGTTGCAATCTACACGCGGCTGGAATTCTTCACGCTTCGCGTATCCCCACCAGCCCATCTCAAAACAGCCACTCTAGCGAAGCATGCCGACAGTCGTGTTTTTTTCAGGCGTGTTTCCGCTTGCCCCCGCATATCTCCCCTGTTCCTCCTTACCCCTTGTGGTGGGGGCGGGAGAAGGACGAGATGAGCCCAAAACCTTCGTAGAATCAATACCTTTGAGACTGTGGGCCATCTGGGGACCTCTTGGGGCGACCTGGTGGACCTCTGGGGGCCCTCTTGGGGGGCTCGTATGAGCGCTGCCCCTCCTCCTGGTGTGACTCGATCGGGCTCCACGTGGTGTGAGTCGTTCGAGGCCCGCGTCGTGGTCTGAGTCGTTCGGGCTCCTCGTGGTGTGAGTCGGTCGGGCGCCTCGTCCTGGTATGAGTCGTTCGGGCCCCTCGTTGTGGTGTGAGTCGTTCGGGCTCTTCGTGGTGTGAGTCGGTCGGGCGCCTCGTCCTGGTATGAGTCGTTCGGGCTCCTGGTGGGGCCTCTTGGGAGCCTCTTGGGGGCCTCTTGGGGCCTCTTGGGCGCCTCTTGGGAGACTCTTGGGGGCCTCTTGGGAGCCTCTTGGGGGCTCTGGGGGCCTCGTGGACGCCTCTGGGGTGCCTCTTGGGAGCCTCTGGAGGCCTCTTGGGGGCGGCTGGGGAGCCTCTTGGAGGCCTCTTGGGAGCCTCCTGGGGGCATCTTGGGGCCTCGTGGGGGCTCTGGGGGCCTCGTGGACGCCTCTGGGGTGCCTCTTGGGAGCCTCTGGAGGCCTCGTGGGGGCGTCTGGGGAGCCTCTTGGAGGCCTCTTGGGAGCCTCCTGGGGGCATCTTGGGGCCTCTTGGGGGCTTCTTGCGACCTCCTGAGAAGCGCAAATGAGCACTACCCCCTCAGAAGGACAAAATGACCCCCAAACCTTCGTAAAATCAATAATTTTGAGAACAAGGAGCAGCAGCGCTGGCCCCTCAGACGGCCAAAATGGGGCCAACACCGTAGTAAAATGATTGATTTTGGCTTCAGAGAAGAGGAGAGCATTTTTTCTACACCCCCCCGACGGGGCCAGAATCCTCGTGAGGGTCGTCGTTTTTTTGGCCCTCCCAGGAGTCGGAAAAGACCCCTCCAACGACCCGCGGGACGCCCTCTCCAGACCCAGGGGGAGGGGGTAGGGGGAGGGGTAAACCCCTCCCCGAAGGGGAAGAAGGGGGGTTGGGGGGTTGAGAACAGAGAAAGCTCTCTAAACCACTCACGCCCAAAGGGCTGGTGGGATTCTCTGGTTGGAAGCGCAGCGCGTCGCAATGTGCGAGCGCGGTTCATCTCTGGGGTCAGGCCGCGGCCCTGGCACGCCAGCAGCCATGGCCGCCTTCGCACTCATCCGTGTCTGCTGTCTGTGCTTTCTTCCGAAGCAGTGCTTCTTTGGGACGTTATTTTTCTCACATCTGGTTTATGTTGGCTCTTCTGCGCGTTCCTGCCGGAGAGTTGAGCGATGCGACGCGGCTGGCGAGAGGCAGAAGGCTGGAGCCAGTAGGGTGCGCCCACGTACATGGGCATCCAAAGCGCAAGCGCGGGATTTGGCACAGTGGGCTACGAACGCCCATCGTCGTGACTTGGCGCTGTCATATGTGGTGGCTCGGCACTTCGGATTGAGGCATGCATCGGAGACACTTTCTTTGGGGTTGCCCACGGCACTTTTCCGTTTCAGTGGAGAAGGCAAAGAGGCAGTCATCACGTTCACCCGCAGAAAATGCGACAGTACACCGGTGGAGGTCGCTCGCAATTGCTTACGCGGGGAGACGCGAAGTGACCTTTGTGGCGCGTGCGCCCTGCGCGAAGCTGCGCGGGAGAATCCTTTGCCGTTCGCGCGCATCGCATATGCAGGTGCTCTTGGATTTCTGAAAGCAGGTGCTGCGGCGTTAGGTTTGCCCCAGAGTGAGCACTGGGGCACCCATGCGTTCCGGCGGGGTTTCACCAATGACGCTCTCCAAACAGATGGTCTGTCAGCCCTCTTCTGGTCTGGAGGGTGGAAGGGCGCGGCCGTTTTCGGCTATGCCACGGCCTAGTCTCGAGGTAAATTTGCAGCTGCGCAGTGGCTCACCGAACGCTCGGAATCAAGCGGTGACGAAGACGAGCGGACGTCTTCGCATGCATAGGGCGTGGAAACAAAACAAATATCTTTCCATTGTCCGATGCGACGTTCGTCCTGCGCCTGGCGGCTTTCCGCTTTCTACGTGTCCAGCTATCGTTTCGTCAAGGGCTGCGTTTTGGCCCAGACTGCATGCATTGGGCCCTGGAGGATTTCCAGCCCGGGCCAACCTGTCGGCGCCAAATATTCCAGCTCGCCAACTGTCAGCGCGAAGGCGTCGCCCAACTTCACGGTCGCATGGCCGAACGCGGAAGATTTCCATAGCCCAAAAATCGCGCAGCGATTTGGGGGGCAGGAACATATCCTGGAAGGCCTTTGTGGGCCTCTTGGTTTCTATGCCTCTAGGCTTCCTTCCCTCTCACAGCCCGGGCGCCTCTGAGGTGCAGCGGGTGGAATCTCACAGCCTTTCGCTGCAGTGCGGCAGGCGGGTGTTCACGGCCGTGCGCTGCCTTGCAGCAGGTGGTTCTCACGCAGCGCGAAGGCGTCGCCCAACACCACGGTCGCATGGCCGAACGCAGAAGATTTTCCGTCACCACCGCCACAAGTTGGAGGGGGAGGGGGTACCCCTCCTCCTCGTCCTCGCCCTCCTCTTCCACTACCTCCTCCTCCTCCTCCTCCTCCTCCTCCTCCTCTTCCTCCTTCTCCTCCTCCTCCTCCTCCTCCTCCTCCTTCTCGTCCTCCAACTGATGGTGGTGGTGGAAAGCAGGGTCATCACTCTAGGACACGGCATTCGGGCTCGGCGCGGCACGGCACGGCATGGCAAACTTGCGGTATTAGATTCTAGCCTTAGAGATCAAATTCTGTTTTCCTTTCACGCAAGGCAAATCTCGTCAACCAGTCGTTTTGGTTCCGGAATCGTGATGGACGGTGTGTGCCAACTGGCGGCCTCCAGGGGCAACTACAGAGAACACTGGGCTGTCAACGCACAGCTCTCGATCAAAAGCTGGACCCGGGAAAGGGGTCCAGACCTCCGGAGGCCCGCGATGAGAACAAAAAACACGACGTTGGACTCCTGGGTTGGGCATCGCGACGGCGTGCTCTGGAAGCAATCTGGGCCTCCCTGTAGATCCTGGGGACCAGTCGCAAGTCAGGGACATCCTTCCCTGAGGCCCGACGGCGCGACCAACATACGACATCCTGGTAGATCAAGCCCAGAGAGGCAGGCTTAAGTCGGCCTGTCCCTCTACAGGAGGAGTCTTCAAAAATAGTCCCAAAAATAGTTTGGGGATTGTTTTTTGAGTATGTTGTTGACGTTTTTGGCGCATGTTGGGGGTATTCTTTATTTTTCGTCGACAATCCCCCTGTAGTCAAGGGCATAAAAATGTCCCTACCTTGGTTTACGAGGCGCTGTGCGCTGAAACTCCTGTGTGCTGACAGGGTAAACCCTGCGCGATGTGCCGCGTCCTGGCGGCTCCAGGCTCTGGGGGGTCCCAGGAGGTTTACAGACCACGCGCTTGTCACCCAGGGTCGGGTCGTTGTTTCATCCCTCAGTGTAAGGGGGACACGCCCGACTATACAGTCAAAAACTTTAATAAGGACGCGCGACTTTGCTCAGGGTACCCTTGCGTCCTTGATCTTCCTTGCTCTTGCGTCCTTGGGGTTTTCGTCGTCCGCCGCCCAAACAATCCCAACTTCGGCATCCAAGGGTCTTGCGTCTTCGCCGCGCGTCCCTACTAGGGCTTCTGACTGTGACCGCAGGCTCCCTCCGCCTGCACCGTGTTCCTCCGGGCCCCCGGCGGCTCTGCGCGGGCCGAGGGCGGCCCGCAGCTCGGCGAACCATCGGCCACCGGGAAGCAGAAAAAAACTGCGACGCCGGGGGGCCGCAGCGCGTGGCGCACCGTGCGCCCGAGGCGGGGGGGAGGAGGAGGGCGACGAGGGGGAGGAGGAGGGCGAGGGTGGGGCAGGAGGAGGGGGAGGAGGAGGAAAAGGATCAGACGGAGGCGGAGGAGGAGGAGGAGGAGGAAGAGGAGGAGGAGGAGGAGGAGGAGGAGGAGGAGGAGGAGGAAGCCGAAGAGGAAGGAGGGGAGGAGGAGGAGCAGGCCGACCGACGGCGGCGCCGCCTCAGACAGCGCCGCAGAGCCTCCGAGAGGGCGCCGCCGGCCGTCGCCGCCACCCCGCGGCGCCCGCCGAGCTAGCGGCCGATCGTCGGCGGCCAGCGTGCGCAGGCCACGTGCACGCTGAGCGTGCAGCGGGACGGGGACGACACCGTCGCGGTGGTCTCGGCCGCCCGGGGCCTGAAGCCAGGACCTCCATGGTTGTGGAAGGCGATCAGTTGGAGAGGAAGCATGCTGCCGAATGATTTCCAGAGGTCTAGAAGCTGTTTCAAACATGTTTTGCAAATGTAAAAAAAAAAAAACATTCAGGAGGGGGACAAAACACACAGACACAATGAATCGTCGATCCCCCAGAAAGTATGGGGAAATATGGGAAGTGGGGGGAAGACAAGAACCCAGAAAATATGGGAACATATGGGGAATCTGGTGATTTGTGTCTATTTATTTGTGTGTCCCAGATCCCCTTCATGTTTGAAACATGTTTAGAACATGTTTTAGATACTTTAAACACTTTCATTCAATGATAGGCTTGTTAGAGTGTCCATTGTCATGGCATCCACAACTCTATAGGCAGGCCAGCCACCACTGGGAGAGGCGGTGGTCCTTAACCCCCGCGGGGGGACCCGTCGATGTCAGCACCCCTCTCGTGAGACCGTCGATCAGAGGAGGAAAAGGTACCCATACCACTACCCTTCGGCCGTTTTCCCCTTTTTGGGCCTCCTCGCAGGATCTCGTCGCCACCGCTGGATTCGCCTCGAAATTCTGGTCAGAACGCACCCCAGGAGAGGTCTGGGGAGTGGCGGTATCGGTACCTTGTGGTTTCCCCAGTCGATGCGATGGGTTCCCCCAGGGGGGTAAGGACCACAGCTCCCCCAGTTATGGCTGGTCGGATGGGGTTCTCCAGGCTTGCCAGACCCATAAGGTGGGGGCGTTCCCTCAGGAATGCGCCTAAGTAGGAGGCCTCAGACCCGGGAGGAGGGTGGCGGTGATACCCGTGGCCACTCCACGATAGGAGTTCCGCGGGCTTCCAGACCCTGGATTCCTTATCCAGTGGTTACCCGTCCTATCTCCTCCTCATCCTCCTCCTCCTCCTCCTCCTCCTAGCCGCCGCTCTGGCACGAAGAGAGCGAGGGGCGGCCCGCGCGCGGCAGGTGAGGTTGACTTGCCTTGGCGCCACGCGGGCATCGCGATGGCGCGGTCTGTGGGCCAGTGGATATTGAGGGTGCTCGGGTACAACCCGATGTTCGCCTCGGGCATGCGGTTGCAAGAGATCGCCAGCAGCTGTGGTAACATGGATGTGGTGATGCTGGCAGGGACACAGGCGTCACATAGACGAGTGGATGAAGTTCTGTATCGGAAGATTGGTAATAGAGTGGCTCTGGAGGCTGAGGCAGGTATAGGAGAATACACCAACAAGTCCACGGGCTGCGCTATCATATTAGGGCACAAGTTCAAGGAACAGAATATCTGCCAGACGTGGGCGAGCCCCACAGGGGCAGCGGGGAGGGCTTTGGCGGCGAGGATACGTCGCGGTCCCCTCGACATGGCGATCTTTGTCATGTACTTTCCGCTTCAGCCTCGGTATGTTCGAACGGTACCTCATTACATGGCGACGGTGCACATTTTGACTCAATGGTATGAGCGCATCCTGCAGCAGTTACCATGCAGGTGCATACCACTGGTCTACACGGGTCTGAATGATGGAATTGGAATCAGCAGAATGTCAGGTAGATGGCAGCAGGTGGAGTCTACGTCGCTGGGACCAGGACGGGCACGGGAGCAACGACGCGGGGGGGATGGTGAAGCGATTCGACAGGTGAACGAGCGCCAGCATGTGTTCGTGATGAATCCCCGCAGCGCGACTTTGGAGCATACGTACTACGGACACAAAGGGAACAGCAGTTGCATCGATTATCTATTTATGCCTGATGGAATGCTGGACATGGCGCCGAGATTCTCTCCACTTTTCGGACTGGGGGCTGAACTGCAGGCCTTTAAAGGGGTCACGCCGCAGGATCACGTGCCGATCTATATGGACTTGCACGGCATGCAGGCGTTTACGGCTACGGAGTCACCCTCCTCGTTGGGTAAGATGAGGTGGAACTATGATGACTTGATGAAGTGCTTGAGGACGGGACATCGCAGAGTTGAGTTTCTGGAGGCGGTGGGAGCTAGCCTATCGGAGAGTGAGGACACCTGGAAGGCGCTGCTCAACCACGGGAGGCCAGACGAAATATTTCTTCATCTTGGTACCACCCTGGCCAGCGCTGGGCAGTGACTGTTCGGACATGATATATCAAACGATTCTACGTATAGGCAAGAAGCAGCTGAGAGATCAGAACTTCTGAAGGAAAGAGCTCGACTCAGGCGGTCCAGAAGTCACATGAATGCAGATTCCACGGAGCTGAACGACTGCGAGCAGAGGACCTAAGCCAAATGGTACGACGGCAGCGACAGAAATATGATCGGGAACGGAAAGAAGCTCTCCTGGATGAGATAGACGAGGCGTGGCAAGCCAGAAGAACGGCGGAAGCAATGCGCCTGTCTAGACAGGCGGCGAAGTGCCGCTTCGGCCCCAAGAGACGTGATGGGCGACTTCTACGAGGCGGCTACTTCACAGAGAAAGAGCTGACGGACTACTGGGGCTTGAAGGGCTGTGAGGGGGGCATGTCGGCGCACACGATAGACCTTGACGAATGGCTGGCATCTTCGCCCCCAGGGGCCAATGTCTATGTTTCGGAGGAAGACTGCGTGCTGACCCAGAAAGATCAGTGGAAAATTGCGAAGTATTTCCGTTCTTCTAGCAACAGAAGTGGTGCCATCAGGAACCCCGCCGGCGGAAGTTTGGCTGATGTGTCTGGACCCCTCGGCGAACGTCGACAACGAGGGCACGGGCGTAGGCTACCGCCAGGAGGTTCCCGACACGAAGCTGTTTGGGAAGATGCTTGGGGGAGGTCTAAGGCTTATTCGGGCCAATGACCGTACCCCGCTGCGGTTGCATATCAGCTCTGGGGCGCAGCTTCGGAAAAATGCAAAACCTGGCCTCGCGGGCCGAAGGGCGGTCCATGTGCTCCCGACTATTGGAAAAGCGTTTTATTCAAGCCTCCTCCGGGTACCTCCCACGACCATGGAACGCGGATTTTGCGTGGGTGGGCGTCGGGGAGGTGCGATTTTAGTAGCACAGCTCTTGGGGTGGCGCCTCAAAAGGGCAGGAGATTTTGTCGCGTTCACGCGCGAGGATATGCCGAACGCGTTCGCCCGTGGTGCGCGGGAGGAGCTCGAGCAAACAGTGGAGCTTCATGCCGAGCCTCAGGATGTTGATTGGTGTGTCCAACGTTTTCGACGTAGCGTTATCTGGTTGGAATCTTTGGAAGGAGGGTTGGACATCAAGACGGGGGGGGGGGGGGCGGGGCGATGGGGGGCCCTTTCGTCGTGGAGCTGTTCAGAGGAACCTTCTCGAGACCGATTTTGCAGTGGCTTCGCCGCTTGCGGGAGTTTGACGCGTCCTCGACGGGCTTGCTGGCCAGCTGGCGAGACCTCAGTGCGAACGTAAGGGGGGCGCCTCTATGCCGACGACATGTTTCGAGCTCGTGTGGCCGCCCCACTCGGTGCAGCGGGGCAAGTTTTCTCGGGTCATAAAGCAGGCTGATGAGATTTGATCGGAAGGGCTGCAGGAGATGGTTTTCCCGAAACACACCCAAGCAGGAGATCCAGCTCTGGTTTCAGGGACCAGGGGCGATGCAGTGCAGGCAGTGGGCGAGGGGCAGGGGTCGTAAACAACTTGCAGGGCAGCTTCAGGAAGACGTTCGATACCTGGGGCCAACAATTAATATGCTACTCTCTGCGACGGTGGAGGTCCGCAGGCGAATTCAGGCTACGGCAGATGCGTATTATGCGTTGGGACAGGTGTGGCCCCTTGCACTGCCGTTCCGCTGGAAGCGGACTTTGTTTCTCAGTTTTGTGCAGAATGCGGCCTTGGCGGGCCTGGGGCCAATGCTGCTGACGCCCCGACATGTTCGTGAGCTCGATTCGCTTCTGGCCAGGTACGGGAGGAGGGCCCTCCAGGGCGCGGCGGTTGCGAAGGTGGGAGATCGAATCCGCTCGTGGCCAAACAAAAGGGTAATGCAGCATTGGCGGCTAGCTAGATGTGGGACGGAGCTACTCGCGAGACGCCTCGGATGGCATCGGAGTTGGGCGATCGCCCCAACGAACCGTGCTCAGGAGCTCTGCTTATTGTTCGGGGCGATCAGGATCGACACGGGTGGGGCTCCGTTGTCAGGCGACGTGGTCCATCCCACGCTTGCGTCGCCGTGGCTTAAGCAGTTGCAAGTTGACTTCCAACGAGCGTCTGAGCTACTGGACGAAGGTGAGGTTTGCTCGCACTTCGCGCGTTGCCCCGGCGATATTGTGAACAAAGGGTTTCGGGAGTTCTGGATGAGAGTAGATTTCTCAGAGATACGTGCACGGGAGCTTTCGGCGGTTATTCCTCCTTCGGACTATCTCGAGGAGGGCCTGGGGGACACCCATGAGGAGCCCCTGGAGTACCCGTGGAAGTGTGACTGGACGGTGGAGGAGGGAGAGGCATGCGGAAGGGAGTTTCAAACGAAACGACACCTTGTGAATCAGATGCGCCGTATCCATCAAGTACACGACCTATGCTCGACGGTGACCCCTACAAACACGTGCATCGTATGTGGGGGGTTTTGCTAGCCAGCCTAACGCCTACAAGCACCTCCAGAGGGCCCTCTTGAGCGGAAAATGTCAGACTCCTGGTTCTCCAACGTTCCTGGAATTGATTCCACCGACTACCTCGGAATGTGGGGTCTGTTGTTACTATGCTAGTGATGTCGCTGATCTGTGTAGCCATCTGGGTTCCAACCACCTGCCGATTGAGGTGGATCCATCTCTGAGTTCATATTTACGTCAATGAGACCCCCGAGCTGCAACTTCACATGGGGTCGCAGGCAGAGGGATCGCTCCCGAAGCCGATGTGGATGGCGGACCAGTCATTGGCCCCCGCGGCAAGAAAGGGCGCACCGTGCGCGACGAGGCCAAGGCAGTAACAAAAGGAGGAAATGCTCTTCACAACCTGGTGGTGATTATCGCCAAGCTCGTCCTGACCGACAGCCGCGCGCTGGCGGAGTTGAGCAGCGCGGTCTACCGCGCGCACGACGTCAGCGCAGACAGCGA